ATTGCAACTCCCGCGGGTCACTGGCGGCCTCCTGGTGGCCTTTAGTGTGGCCCCTGATGTGGGGTCCCCCGACAATACCCACAGAGTGGAAACACCCCCATCATCATCGTGCTGCTGTCAAACCCCCAATGGTTTCAAATGTGTGGCGGCACTCACACACCGACGATGTCTTATTGGCGAAAGTGACCATGCCTCTGAACCGTCGTGAGGAACGCCGACTTCAGTCCGTGCGTCCTGTCGTTCTGCCCTCCTGCGATCTCGCGTGATGATGTTTTTAATTTTTCTTCTCGTCATCATGAAATGTCCCCGATTTTTGGTAGCTCAGAGGTGGCAACCCTTGTTCCAGACGCCGATTGTCTCGTGTTTATGTTGTTGATGTTATTTATGAAAAATGGAGTTGCATAAAAACGTACTTTCAAGGCTGGGTTGATGTAACATATTTGTATTATTACACTGGTCAATACACTTTTTCTGGCATAAGGTATTCCAACGGTTTTAAGGTAATTTTGGGGTGCTGATTCCAAATCTAGCATCAGTTTTTGGCTATCAATTTAGGTTTTTGAGATATCAAATATTGCATTTTCAATAAAAACAGCAAATTTATGCTCATATACGAATAGCTAAACAGACATCCATACAAGAATAAGTTAAGATACAATATACAATAATAATGAAACAAACATTTAATGAGCCGTAGCACAAAGTTGTGAGAGCATATCAATGTGAGTGAATGCATATTACCATGTAAGAATTGAATTGTGAAGATAAGAAAAATATGTACAAAAAGGTCATTCACAATAGTGATGTTACATCTGCATAAACGACCTCTTATTTGACGATATCCGATGTACAGCTTGTGGAACGTCTCTCATCAAGGACCAGCAGTAATCTGCCATCGTGTTTGAGTCCCATCGGCCTTGGTAACGTTCTTCCATAACTTTAATGTCTTGATGAAAGCGTTCACCTTGCTCTTCGCTCACGTGACCCATGTTCTTTGGAAACTGGGCCAAGTGACTATGTAAGTAGTGAACCTTGATGCTCATTCTACATCCAAGTACTTGGAAACTCAAGAGCAGCTCCTCCACAATCTCTCGATAGTTGTCCGCTTTCCTGTCCCCAAGGAAATTCCGCACAACATCAGATAATGCATTCCAAGCTCTAGCCTCTGCTGCAGTCATTGTTGTAACAAAGTGTGGATCCCTGATGAGTGTTCTTATTTGAGGTCCATAAAATATTCCTGCCTTTTTCTTCTCGGCACTGAGATTTGAAAAGGTTGAACATATATAGCTGAAGCAGTCTCCAGTGTGATCAAGAGCTTTGACGGATTGCTTCATTAACCCAAGTTGTATGTGCAGTGGGGGAAATACAATTTTATTCCTATCAACCAGAAGCTCATTCTTGATGTTCTTGTCACCAGGCGTCAAACTGATTCTTGGTGGCCAGTTCTTTTTAACCCAGTGTTATAATGTAGCCCTACTGTCCCAGTAGCACAGGAAACAAGGGTATTTGGTGTGACCTCCTTGCTGACCCAGCAGAAAATTTACCATTTTCAAATCAACACAAATTAGCCATCCATGAACATGGTATTCCAATCTATCCAGAACAATCTTGATGTTGGCATACTCTTCATTCATTTTTACAGAGTGTCCTATTGGGATTGAACCATATATATTTCTGTTGTGAAGTAACACACATTTCAAACTCCTTTTACTACTGTCAATAAAAAGTCTCCATTCACTTGAATCATATGCGAGCAGTCCCATATTGAGAAGAAGCCCTTCAACATCATTACAATAAACAAGTTGACCATCTGAATGGAAGCACTTTCGCAGTGCTGCTTCTCTGTTACGATAAAAGGAGACACTAGTGCCAGGTCTGAGTAGTCCTTTCTCTTGCAGCCTGGAAGCCAACAATTCAGCAGACTGCTTTGGCAAATATAAATCTCTTACAAGATCATTCAATTCAGGCTGACTAAACGGAGACATTTTATCACAATCTGCATCAGATGGCGTAGATTCGATCTGAGCATCATCATCATCATCATCTGTAGAAGCAGGTAAACTGAGGGATTCAACATCAATATCTGGTAGCTCAGTAAATACAGGCACAGGTATTTCCTCACAGTGCTCAACTGGTCATCTGGCAGATGGGATATCTGGGTTTGTAAATGTTGTTTGTTTTTCTTATTGAAACCTTTTACATTGACAAGGCAGAAGTAGCAGTTATCCAAATGGTTTGTAGGTTCTCTCCAAACCATTGGCACACCAAACTTCAGCTTAGCATTCTTTCCTTTAGACCATGATAGCAAAGTTTCAACACAGGTTTTACACACTTTGTAAGGAGCCCAATTTTTGTCTTGGTCTCCAAGTCGTACTTTAAAGTAGGCAAGATAAACCTTGACAAAGGTATTGATGTTGCGCCTTTGATCCTGCAAAGTGAAGCTGCCACAGATGTAGCAGAATATATCTGGGTCATTACTGCATTTCCTTCTTTCGGATGTTGTAGCCATTGTTAGATCACGCCCTGCAGAAGAAAAATATTAAATAAATGTGGATATCTACATAAAATGATATTATAAACACACTATCCTAAAAATACAGCACCATATTTTAAGACTAAAGCAGTCACTGACTCGCAACAACTTGCAATCATAAGTGACATAGTTCATTTCGGGTAAAATCAATGAAAATGGGGTATGCCGATAGCATAAAAATGAGATGTGATAGAGCAAAACAGCTGCAGATTTATTTTTTGTTGACCAGTGTTATTGTTGTTTCGGTCTTAGGTAGCCGGTTGGCTGAAGAGGTGGGTGGGTCTTCGTAACGGCCGTGTCAGAAACGCAGCAGCGCCAGCCCTGTTGAGATCTTGAGATGAAATCCAGGTGTCAGCTGCCCGCGATTAAATTGGGTGCAGTCCAAGTTTTCAATCGGGCCACCGTCACGCAGGGGAACGGCTTGCAGAGCGTGATGGGGGGGGGGGGCAGCTGTTAGCGCTACGCTGCGCTACGAACCCGGCGACCCGAGTTCGATTCTCGCTCACAGCCAACACCAGTGGCGATTATCTGAAGCCGTCCTGGACCTCCCCTAGGTCGACTCTGCCTCAGATGAGTACCTGGTGTGTTCTGCCTCACGCAATGTGGGGCGTGTCTACACAGGAATTTCCTGTTTTTGAACCAGGGGGTGGTCACGTGACCAGGAAGTTGCGATTTTAGATTTCCGCTGAACCACGCGGGCGTCGGCCATTACAGACATAATTCAAGATGGCGGCACACATTGCGGCCCCGTGAAGCCAGCCGCAGTTGTCCGTTGTGGGACTTTGGGAAGCATTGTCTGTAAGTTTGTTTGTGTTCTTATAATATTGGCTATGTTGCTATAATGTTAGAAGGACCTTTATAATACTGTTATAATGTTAGGATCTTTATAATGCTGTTAAATTGTTACGATGAATGTGGGGCCTAGTTGACAATAAAGCCTGCAGCTTGCCTTGTTGTGACTGTTACCTGTAATCGAGTAAGTGGATTCAAACTTGCAATAACAAAATGTCTCATTCATAAGACAATGTTATGATGCTGTGGTGTTTATTCATTATGTTGGTGTTTCTGGGTATTAACAGATGCTGTATCTGTGCTGTTTTTTTTTACCAGTTTTACCTCTGGTTCAATTTTAATAAATGACGTTCGGAGGGAGGAGTGGGGAGTAGGGGGGAGGGGAGGAGGAGTGGGGAGTAGGGGGGAGTTGGGGAGAGGGGAAGGGAAGGAGGAGTGGAGAGTAGGGGAGGGGAGTGGGGAAGAAGGAGTAGGGGAAGGAGAAGTGGGGGAGAGGGGAGACTCGGGGCGGGGCTTGGGTTTTGGCAGCAACACTCTCCCCGGAGAGCCACGTGGTCTCTCGTGGGTCTCGTGGCAAGTGCCTCCAGAGAGTCCCAGGGGTCGGCTGCCCCCTAGCGGCGTTTTGGCTGCAGTTTACCTGCTGCTGTGTTGGCCTTCAAGTAGCTCCGCGTGTGATATTACGGCTCTCGAAATATTTCGGTGAAAGACAAACATTTAAAAAAATACGGCTCTTCCTCTGTGAAAGGTTGGATTGGATAAAACAATAACATATCACGGGGGAGCGGAATCTTCACATAAGGCTGGGTGGTTTAGGCGAGCGTCCCAGGAAATCATTGTGCAGTGCTGTGGCCTGGCTGCTACGTTTCCAGCCCGCCCTTGCCTGGATACCCTGCCTCCAAGACGCCTCCCTCCAGGCTACTCTCTCGACCCTGCCCCGCTCAACGCAGTCCATGCAGAGAATGTACCGGGATCCGCTTTGAATCGACATTCTAAAATTACCTTTGCCGAGTTGCATTCCAGGGACATAGATAGGTACACAACGTGTGTGCACCAACTCTGCGTTGCTCGTGTAATGTTCACGATCATTGTTGTGGATGGACATTTGCTGCCCACGTTAATCGCCCACGTGGTTGAGTCGGGCCTAGCCGGCTGCGCACGTGTTCGAGCCTGAGGCAGGGGTCCAGTTCTGCGTGTGGTGGAGACCTGCGGTGAAGCTCGTGATTGACGTCGTTTTGCTTTATATTCGAATAGCTTAAGTTCACGTGGCAATTGCTGATGCAAATTTATCCGTCGGTGTAAGCAACGGTGATGCTGCGTAAAGCTGAGTGTTTTAATAGCGACACACATGGAGCGGTCAATTAATATTGGTGGGGATTCATGGGTAAAGTCCAGCATTAGTCATATTGCATAATCCCTGACTAGAGCATTGAACAAAAATATATATATATATGCTTGGACATTACAGGCTTAAATCCAGGAAACGTGGTTATAGCTTTCTGGTGGATTGTGAAGATGGACTAAAATGGTACAAAGTTTGGTGCAATGTGTTGGCCACCACAATTGGTGCGGGATACGAGTTGCTGCTGCTGCTGACGAGTTGCCAGCAACGGTTGCCAACGTGGTTCATGGGTCCAAAGGTTTCGCCTCGGGAGAAATTATTTTTGACAGACGGTGCGACGTGCGTGTGATTTTTATTATCATTTAACGCGCTTTATTACATATTCTTAGGTTTTTTCGGTAAAGTCACGTAGGTAAAACATCAAAAATAATGAAAATAAAATAAAAAAAAATCACGACGTTTCGGAGGCAACACAAGTCTCCGTCATCAGGTGGGACCGTCACAGCCGAATTAGCTGCATCAAGTGAGATTTACATTGCGAATGAGCCGCTCTCCATCTGCGGTGAATGGCAGTCGGGGATTCTCTCTCGACGGTGGTGGTTGTGGTGAGCGTCTCTAGCAGGGGTTGATCGTCAGCAGCACCTCCTCGTACACCATCTCGTTTGAGCTCGCACAGAAATTGTATCTACACACATGGGGCAAGGCGACGTCGAATCACCGTCATTGACACTCAACGCACGACGGCGCTGTTGGCAACAGACTCAATGGGGCAACGTCCATTGTTGTACCGTACTTCTCTGCTCCAGCATCTACTCTCCCCACTGTGGCCAGACCAAAGTGGTGGCAGTGGCATGTGGTCAGACAACCTCACGGCATGGGGAAGGCCCCCATCGCTGGCTGGTAGGGTTACCACCTGGGCCTGTGTGTGACCGGGTACAGCCTTGAATTGGCATTTTGTGTTTTGGGTTTGCAGGAGTTGCCTCTTTGTGCCCGAGATCTGGGAACCGGCACGTGTGAAACTTAATTGCCGTGTGCCGCACCAGTCTTTTTAGAGACTTCGGCTGTAAATGGAAAAATGTGTCCAGCCTCGCTCTGCAAGAAAGGTGGCGGGGACCCAGAGCGATGTCATGGACACAGAGTCACGTCCCTTTAAGGGCAGAGTAAAAGTGCACAGGTCCCTTTTAAGGGCAGAGTAAAACAAAAGTCATCCCCTTTTTAAAGGCTGTACCTGCTTATGAATTGCAAGTTTTACGCGCAGGATGTGGAGGCAACTTGACTTTGGTGGTGGGTTCAAAGTGCTCCTCACGTTTGATGTTCGAACGGCGACTTGAGCTCGAGGCGGGTCACCCCCAGCTTGGGGCGTTCGAGGTGGATGACGTTGTCATCCCACAGGAACTTCACCTTGGTGATCTCGCCCACCATGGCCTCGCTGTCCAGGGGGTACGTGTACGTCTTGCCGGGCTCCAGCGACGTCGCCGAGCTGTGGGAGATTGGCAACCGAGTTGGTGGCTGGGGCTCTATCGTGGCGATAGTCATTTAAGAAGTGCTAAATCGTGCTAGAAGCTGATAATAGGGTTTTCCCCTTTTTTCTGGCAACAAAACAGGTGTTAAGATGCTAAACACCAAACTGAAACTTTTTACAAGGAATAATGTCTGCATTAACCACAATGCTTGTGGTTAGAATGCAATCCAAAAACATAAAACATACTCTGATAATATATGCATTGTCCTTGAAACTGATTGGTCCACACCAGACAGCTTTCTTTTGAGCCTCGTCTCAAACGATGTTAGACCAGAGGACGCCAAAAGGCGTACAGCCCAAAGACATTGCACTATCAGAGTAATGAGACCTCGGGGTGAGCATCTTCATCATTGGGATCTCCTTTTTGCCATAAAAAGGGGAAAAACCTATTATTTTGGAACTTGTGTAGGACTTGAGAAACACGCGTCACGCGTTGGATTGTGATACGGGCATGCGGCGGACTGTGAGGTCAAACGGGGACACAGGGAGCGGGGCGACATACTGTTGTTATTGTACCAATTAAGGTGGTAAGGTAGTTAAGGGGGGCCTGCAGGTGTTGGGGGTAATCGAGGACGCAGGCCGGTGATTGGACGAGAGGGATGGGTGTCGGGAATTGACGCCTCTACAATAACAACACCACGTGAGGCTGGGGGCTGGGGGCGAGTGGAGAAGCGGGGGATGATCTAATTGATTAAGGGAAATTGGTTCGGGGAGAAACGGGAGTTGGTTGGTGCCTGGGACAAGAGACGGATAGAGGAAGAGACGGAGCAGCAGTGGACAAGAGAGTATAGTATATGGTAGCAGTGGACAAGAGAGTATAGTATACGGTAGCAGTGGACAGAGAGAGATAGTATACGGTAGCAGTGGACAAAGAGAAGACAGAGTATGGTAGCAGCGGATAAAGAGAATACAGTATAGGATAGCAGCGGAGTAACGGACCTTGGAGGAGAAGCTACGACAGAGTGAGATGGCAGAGAGAACAAAGAGCGACCGAGCTGGAGAGAGAGAGAGAGAGAGCAGAGAGGGAGGTCGCTGGAGGAGAGGAGCAGAGGGAGAGCGGGCGAAGCCAGCGGAGCAAGCGAACGGAGGGACATTGAGTGATGTTGATGGGGAGTTGTGTGTTGAAGAAAATGGAGGGACATTGAGTGATGCCGACGGAGGAGATGTGAACTATACGCGTTAATAAAGAACCGAGAAAGACAAAAGCTGTCGCGTCAGTACGAGTCCTACACTTGCAAAGAAGATCTCATGACGTGCTAGAAGCATCGGCAATGTGCAAGTGCCCTGTTAACCATCACGTCGGAGGTTAAGGGTTTGCGGGTTAGCCGTGTTATCTTTATCATCATCAACATCAACGGTCACTCTTGACTCCATAGTGCGGAGGCGCCAACGGAATTTTAAGAAGCAGAGTTGAACACAGTGCTGGCCTGTGGGTAGCGGCACGCGTGGACTTAGAATCACGAGGGTTCGACGTTGTAGGCAGTCACGTCGCTATCAAGTGGTGGAGACAGTGCAGCTGAACCTGAGACCCATGGGCCACAGGGTCCTCGGTGCTGGCCTTGAAGAGGATTGGGGGGGGGGGGGACATTGGATAAGGGGTGCGGGGTTGTGGTGGCAGCGGGCATTTAATTCCTTGTGTCAGGGCCCATGCCAGTGATGCTATGCTACCGATTGCACGGTAGGCAATTGTTGGAGATTGTCACGCGGCTTTGCACAGACCCCTCGCACGCCTTGACCTGCAACCGCATCGTTTCATCCCACGCTACGTTCCGATCGTGCACCACGATTGGCTCGCTATGCCATGACCCCCAGCAACCTACGTTCTATTCCTGGCTATGGCTAACATCAGTGACAAGTGATAACTGAACTCGTCTTGGTCCACCCTCTCTGCCCGACCATCGTGGTGAAGTATGGTCAAACAATCCCCATGACCGGCAAGGGTGCCCGCGAGGGGTGGTCCAAGTGTGCTTCCCCAGCTTCACCTGTAAAAAGAGTGACCTAGAATCTCAGAGCTGCCAGGAGAACCCAGGGGCCTTGCCTGGAGAATCCGTGGCAACTCTGGAACTGTGGGCAAACCTCGAAGAGTGCTGCTGCTGACTTTGACTGGTGAACACTGCGGCCTTGTGCCTTGTGGACAGCATCACACGCTTGCCTGGAGCTGCTTGGTGGGCCCCTATTGCAATTCACCTTGGCTGCACGTGATTGCTTTACCTTTCCAGCACCAAGAGCCACCGTATCAAGTGTGTTTTGTTCGTGTGTTAGCGTGCGTTTGTGAGCCAACCCATGCTGTTGCCTTGACTGACGCCAGCTACTCACGGTGTCAGCTGGTGCTGGTGAGTGTTCCCGTTGGGCCCGTACAGAGCGATCTTAAAGATCCCTCGGACCGATTTGGTGCCAGACAGCGTCAGAGTCGCCTCGTAGCGCCAGCCTAGACACGGCACAAAAGTCGCAGCGACGTTCGCGTCTCGCGGTCAAATGATTGAACCCTGCCCACTGGCAAGTCGCTGGTCATCATTCAGGGTTGCCATTCCATTCATGATCGGTTATTTTTGTGAACATTGGTGAATGCAGCGGCCACGAGTGGCTGCAGGGGTCACGTGAATGTGTTAACGTACAAAGTATGTAATGTTCATTCTTACACGGTTTTATGAAATTTTGTAGCATCTGCGACGAGCATTAAGGCGGTGCACACACGACTCCTGTTTACATCCCTGAACCAGTGCAGGAATATCCACATATGGCCGGGGTATTCATTTCCATAGGACCACCACTGTTGACTTCTCAACGAAGTGGGACCTGTTTTAATTGGCCATGGAGTGACGATGGGGCTGAGTCAATCCGCAACTAGGATTTGAATTTACAAGCCCTCCGATTAAGAGCCACTCGCTCAACCGTTGAGCCACCTGCGCTATGAACCTGGTGACCAGAGTTGAGTTTACGGCCGCGGCTATCATCACCGGCTAGTGATATCATTCTGACTTGGTACACGTGTGGCAGGCAGCGGTGATGCGTGGAGCGCACGGGAGAAGCTCTGCTCCGCTCCGGTGTTGAGGTAGTAGATGTTGTTTATGGTCCCGGCGGCCACCGAGCTTTTGGATGCGAAGTAACCCATGCGGGGGCATCCTCCGCTTGGGCACGTGGAGCACTGTCCCTGTGGTGTCGAGAGTTTGCAGCAGAGCAGCAGGTAGCCGGGCAGGAGGGGAGCAGGGCAGCCGGATAGCAGATACGGTCAGGCATGTGGGAATGACGATAAGGAATTTGGTTGAGAGGACATGATGACCAACGTAAATTTGTGTCTTTCTGCATATGAAAACAAATATATATTTAAGGCCATCATTCAACTGACTTTGCAGACTCAACGTTATCCTGCAGAATTTGTTCAAACAACTTCTGGACGGGTTTTAACCTTACAGGTCTCGGTCGCCCTGGCACACCACATCCGTGGCTGGCTATGCCAGTACCGTTTTACTTAAGTCTCCCAGCAACCCAGAGAGTATTAAGTGATAACTGCACCACCAAGGGCGGCACACCTACGCTGAATCTCGTCCGTGTCAGCGACCCTTAAAATATTTCCGCTCCGGGCACACCGCATCTCATATACCTCCTGATTACCACCACTGGTATGAGCCGTGGCGACGGCGTGCAGTCGGTGCGGCATACATTTTTAAAGGAGTTGTAGTCGCTGCAGGGGAATCCAACGAAGCCGTCCACGTTCGTCAGCGACTCCGTGAAGTACTTGTAGGCACGGAGGTGGTTGCACGCAACAAAGTCTCTGGTTCCTGGCGACGGCACCGCATTGCGATCAACAACGCTACGGGGAACCGGGCCACGCGCTCTGGTTACGCTGGCGAAAGTTTATTTCGATTTTGTTTAAACGACGAGTGAAAGCTCCAGCGGACAGCATAGTCTCCATCGTACTCGGATTGTAGATGTCGTGGATTTGCTCTCCAACACACCGGTGTGCTGTACTAGTAACGAATTGTTATGTTCTGTTCACGTGACAAACCTTACTAACTGGCTGTGTCGGGTGGTGGCGGGCTTAACGACACATTTATATTTGTACGCGAACTAAACTAAAAAAAGTTATGGATGATATTGGTCGCGGAAGCGTACCTGTTAAGCATCGTCTCGTTTGTAAGAGGTGGGTCACCAACTTGACAAAAAGCAATGAAATCAAATGAAAAGTCTAAAGTTATTTCCTGTTCAAATAAGCATTGAGGCATTGGTGCTTGTCTCCTGTTTACAGCCCTGAGCCAGTGATGGAAATTACACATTCCCTGGGCAGTGGCGATTTAATGCATAGGAAAGCCACCGGCTTCCCCGCCAAGTTCTTATTTTACCAAACCCCAGAGGGAGGGGATAGATGGGTGGCCGGATCGACCCGCAATCGGGATTTTAACTTGAAACCTTCCGATTGTGAGCCACTTTCTTAATCGCTGAGCCATACTCGAGTCATTTATAATACAAATACTTGAAACCATTTTAAATGTAACAAGAAAATCTCTAGACTGTATAATAATCAGTGAGTGAAAATCTGGCCGTGGGTGGTATCCCGGCGGCTGATTACCTAGGGTAAGGTAACCATTACCCAGGGTAAGGTAACCATTACCTAGGGTAAGGTAACCATTACCGCTGGCGTACAGTTTTCAACTTGCCATCCCAGATGCCGTTGATGTCGATGATGGTGGAGATGATGTTCTTGTCACAGCCGGGCATCTCCTCTCCTCCGTTGGGATAAAAATCCAGATGCCCAACCGGCTGCTTCATGCCCAACCCTGAGACAACCATCATCACCATCATCACCATCAGGATCATCACATGAGTCATCACCACCATCATCACGATCATCTCCATCATCATGATCACATAAGCCATCACATCACCACCCACCACCACCATCATGATCATCACCATCGTTACCTTCCACCAGATCCTGCCACTCTTGCATAGTTGACGTGTGACCCCCGAGTAGTGGTGGCGACGGCTCCGTGGTAACACATTCTCCGCGTGTTGCAGAAGTTGACAGTTCGTTTCACGCGGGGGGGTGTATTAGCCATAACGCACTGCGCACACAGTCTGCTTCGCAGTGGAAGTTTAAAGATTTCTGTGATGTCATTCGGCAAGAGAGTAGGTAATTGTGTGCCAGCGTCACGGTCCACATTTACCAAATTCTAAAAATGACAGCGCACGTTACTCCGCAGGAAGTACACAGCAACGTAGCCCTTGCTGTTAAACCACGGCAGACGATGTTTGTGAGACAGCACCTTCTGGATAGCCTTGTGCTATATACGGACGAAACAAATACGAAATGTACTATATTAGTGACTTTAAATTTCAGGATGTGACGAATTCCAGGACAGGGCAACAGTAACGAGAAGGATTGACCTCCTCTCCCCCCGCCTCCCTCCCCTAAATAAAGGGTGATCCTGGTAAAGCATGGACAGGTGGCAACCCTGCCGAAACCCCAAATTGTGATGGGCGTTGGGCAAGTGGCAGAGGTTGGGAGGGGGGGGAGTGTGGGGCGAGGTCCGAGCTTCACCGATTTTGGGGATCATGGGAGCGGCGTCCGTGTGGATGGCGTCCACGAAGGCGGCGTCGGAGGGGTCGAGGCGGATGGCGGCGTCGCAGTTCTGGAAGTATGGCTCGGCCGGGTCGAGACCTGGGCACAAAGACAAATGCAAAGATCCCCCGTGTAGCTCGCACAGGGGGCAAGTGCTGCTAGCGAGCACCTGTGAAGCCTAGCACGGCATCGCATATGAGCGGGTGGTGTGGTCAGCACCGTGCCCCCACGGCTGCCTTTGTCTCTCCAGTGGTGGATGTTTATGCCCTCCTACCAGGCACTCTCTTTCAGGCTGAGCACGGAAGTCTCGTTACAGTCAGGAGACATCACGAAGGGGTATGTTAAGTAGGTAGCAAGGCGGAGTGGGTGGGTGGATAAGGAGATGTACTGGTGATGTGCTAAGAAGGTGGGTAGTGAGTAGGTGGTTAGGTGGGTGGGTATAGGAAGGGTGGGCAGACAGGTGGGTCGACGGGTGGGTAGGCATGCAGGTTCTGTGCCAGGCACCGGTGATTCTCCCGAGCCGGGGCAGGCGCTGGCCAGCCTCGGCGGACGCGTGCGCCCCCAGGCTGTGTCCAATGATGTGCACATCCTCCTGGCGCGCCCCGTACTGAGCCTGCCACCACCACCACGATCACTCCATCAGAATCGCAACTCTCGCGGCTCGCGACACGCACAGCATCTCCTGAGTGTTGCTACCTCTTGCGGTACAAAACAAAAAACCTGGACTTACCGCAGCTAGAAGAATGACAATTTATTATTGGTGGAGTGGCCCTCCTGTACGCTGGGAGCGGTCTCAAACATTTGAAAGGGCACCCCTAGTGGCAGCTGCCCCGTGTGTGGCACAACGCGACTCAAGGCCTGGCCTGCAAACGTGCATTAGTTTGCCAGCAGGGGGCGCTGATTGCGATGTGTAAACTCCCAAATTAGTAATTTATCATCAATACTCTAACAAGGGAAAACGACACCTGAATGCATTGTCTTTGGAGTTGTGCAATTTTATTGTTACGCAACTGGGAAAAATTGGGACTTTTGAAGTCCCGGCAAGACTGACAGATTCCCAGGACACGCAGCGGCCTCAAGGACTATCGGGAAAAGCAGGCCAGATGGCAACCCAATCAAACTGCGTGTCTGCAAGAAAACACATTTTATATTTATGCAAATGAGATGCTCGTGCTGCATTTGGGCTAACACGGAACATAAAACATGGGAGGCCTAGCAATAGCGCTGATCCTAACATGACAGAACACGTGATTCTCAGTAGGAATTCATCCTAATCAAGTGCAACATGTAATGCGATGGGTTGTTTTGTGCGGAGTCATTGTTAACCATGCTGCGGACATTAACTCGCCACAGTTAAGCACCCAGCTGAGTTGCTTTGGTTGGGCACCTCAACCCCAGATTCGAATCGAGGGTCTCGGCGGAGCCGGCTCAGCGCTTTGACCCCCGGCCACTTGAAGCAGCTGCCGTGCCGACGTCCCGCGTGGCCGCGACAACCCACGTGGCGCGCTCACCTCCATGGTGTTGACGAGCTTGGCTATCTCGGCTCCGACCACGCGGATGTTGTTGGCCGCCTTGGTGTAGAGGGTGCGCGAGCCGCCCTTCCAGTCCACGGCCACGCAGTTCACGTCGTCCACCCCCACGATGGCCTGCGATGCGACAATTACAAAGTTGTGCTGGAACGATCGAGAAATCGTCGTCACGGCGGGGGGACGCGTGCCAGGCTGGACACGGATCGGAACGAGGACGTGTGAAGGGTGCGCCACTGCTGCTGCTGGTCACGAACGACAGGAAGGCGCAGCTCCCATCCGTACGCTTGGCGTGCACGTCACGTAACCACTACTGCATGTACAATGCTCTCAGCATTGTCTAGACCACCAACTCGAGAGCTTAAAGAACACGTAATTGTGCTACTCATGAGCGGGCAGGAAGGCGCGGCTTTGTGTGCCTCCCGTGCATGTCACGTGACCACCACGCTTGTGGAAACAATACGAACACTCGGTTCTTTTGAATGGACGGTAACGAGATAGGTGGACGTCTACACACAGGAGGGGTGGGCGCGTGGCTGAATGGCTGACGCACCTTGCACATATCCTGCACCCAATCCTCCTCGCCATGGTCGATGAACCCGTGCACCACGAACGCCGTCTTCTTGCCACTGCCGAAGTTGGAGGCGCCGATGGTGGACGGATCGCGGGATTTCAGTTCCTGCGGGCGCAGCGCCAATGGGGTCACGTCAGGGTGAGTTTCTGCACAAGCGAAGCGTGCGAGGCATCGGCACCCTACAGAAGCAGTGGTGGAAATAACGTTCCCGTTGGACGAGCACAAGCGGCTGGTGCGTGTACATGGAGGTCAAGAAGTCATCGTGGACAAAGCTGTTGGTGCCGCCACACCTCGCCAACGGTGAACGTTCATCGTCGCTGTGACGGGGGGCGAGGGTGCGCACGCGACAACCACTTGCGACAAGACGGGCGATGGGACACGTGATGGGTGATGGGACACGTGACGGGTGATGGGACACCGTGACGGGTGATGGGACACCTTGACGGGTGATGTTCTCACCTGCCAGGTGTTGGGGTTGGCTTTGGTGAAGAGGAGGAAGCGAGTGTTGACCTTTTCGGGGCTATCGGGGAGCTGCTTGATGGGCCTCTCTGTGTAGCCCGAGTAGGGGAAGTCGTCCGTGAAGCAGCCCAGGTCGTAGCACACCTCACTCGCTGCGCGCAACAAAAGCATCGTCGTCACCAGAGTCCTGGGCCATAATCATCGTCGTCCTGATCGTCGTAGTCAACATAGCCGTCGTCATTAAGAGTGGTTATTGCCACGATCGTAATCTTGAATATCGCGTCATTCTCGTCGGCACCATCATCATCGTTATCGTCGGCACCATCATCATCATCGTCGGCATCATCATCGTCGTCGACATTGCCGATTTCATTGTCGTTGTTATCAACACTCAACCCGTGGCTGCCCCCTCCCCCACCTGCGTTGACACGATCCTGTGACCGCCACAACCACCCCTCTCCAAGGTTAAAGCCCCCCACCCAATCGCTCCACTCTCACCTATGTGTGCCCAACGCTCTCACCTGTGTGTGAACGCAACACACTCACCTGTGTGTGCCCAACGCTCTCACCTGTGTGTGAACGCAACACACTCACCTGTGACGACAGTTGCCACACAGAGGCCTCCCAGGAGAACAGCGGCCCACATCTCTGTGAGAAGAAAACCACAACTTGACATGGATGCTGCTGCACGACGCTTCACGATACGATATTGGATTTCAAGATTTGACGATCATCGCGATTCCATCGCCCTATAACTTTAAAAGTTGATTTTGCGTTGCGTACGGCAGAGTGGCTGAGTGGTAACGCGCGTGCCTCGCAGCAATAAGCTCCTGGGTTTAATCCCCGACTCGGGTGCCTTTTTCTTAGGAGTTTGCATGTTCTCCCCCCCTGTTCTAGAGGGTTTCTCCAGGTTCTCCATCTGGTGTGAACAGATTACACATGTGTCTGCGGGCTGTGTGCACGTGGTGTACACGTGTCTCTGCTGGCTGTGTGCACGTGGTGTCCACGTGTCTCTGCTGGCTGTGTGCACGTGGTGTCCATGTGGTGTACACGTGTCTCTGCTGGCTGTGTGCACGTGTTCGCTGTGTACAGGGCTGTGCGTGCATGGTGTCCACGCTGTTCTCTGTGTACGCTTACCTGCTGCTGTCCGGAGTGAGTCGGGGCTTGGTGCGCCCAGGGGTGTCGCTGGTTTTATTCGCTCCGAGGTGGTGGAGGTGGAGGTGGTGGTGGGCGTGGGGGGTCTCGTTGGCCTTGGGACGGCGACAGCTGCTTCCCCCGATAGCCCCCCCCCCCTCGTGTTTGCAAGCACTATCGGACATCTATCCACAGCTGGATGAAGGTCTCCCCACGTTGCCACCGTCCCTCCTGGGGGCCTGCAATTCCACGGTCTCACTCCTGCGCAGGAGCTGATCTCGTGCCATCACCGCGGTCCTCGGGGCTACAATCCCTCCTTGGGCTGCCACTCCGAAGCTATCCTTGACCACCGGCCATCATCCCCTTCTCGTGACTTGCAACTGCCCTTGAATCTATGTGGTTTTTTACTTGCGTGTGTTCTACAATCCAGGTATCCTTCTTTCTTACGCTTGGTGTGATTGCTGGCATCCATGTCTTCACACTTTGGTGGACTCGCCTGCAGAGGTTTGAAACGATACATCGCTCGTAAGCAATTTCAATCGGTTAATTTAGGGGATAAATCTCTCGCAGTGACACATGAGTGTTATTGTTATCGGATGAGTGGCAAAGCATGGGGATTGGAGATTAAAAATAAATAATAAACATGATACAAATATTTCTATTATCATTTATTATTATTTTTATCATTTTCATTTTTACCTACGTGACTTTACCAAAAAAACCTAAGAGTATGAATTCTTGCAGTCACGAAAGCTTCAAATCTAGAATTGATGGATAACTCTTTAACTAGAAGGGATCGGAGGAAGATGGGAGGGCAATGGTCATGCATCAAGGCCCTTGATGCCGGTGGTGAAATAACATCGCAGGGATCGGTGTGCGTCTCTGGCCGAGGGGACGACAGGGAAGTGGAAGGCATTCAGAGGGTGGACGCACATTAGTCCCACGGCAGTCCTACCGCTACGTGAGAGTTGCGTGACCAAACGCAAGTGTTTGAACTCCCACCCCCTCCCTTGCCCTGCCCTTGGACCTTTGTATTTGGACTGATAATGTGAACAGGACCGTGGTGGTGTAGATATTTTAGTTGACCAACTTTGCCAGGGAGGTGGCCCACTCAATGTTGCGCTTCCTTTTTGGATAAATAATTATTGACAAGGGATATGCTGACATTCTTCTTTACCTAAACGTTAAGATGATGGTTATCTATTGCCTGCGGTTTTGTTAACGGACAGTTATATGGGGGAAGCATGGAGGGGGGGGGGGGGGGCTCTGTTATTGGAATGTTGAGCGTTGCAAGTGTATATTGTGCCCGGTTGGGGCGATTTCTTACAAGGAGTCTTGTTGTTGTTGTTGGTTATTTGACACGTTCCGAATGCGAGTGGGATGGTCTGGGATTGTTCCTCTCCCTGTGATTCCTTTCATTAAGTGGTGGTGGCTGGGCCTGTGTATGTCTGAAGCATCTTATTCCGACTTCTGACCAAATATTCAAACGTATTATTTAAAGATGAAAAACCGATCGCTCATTATTCCCCCCCACCCCCCAAGCTGCCCATTGGAGAGAGGCCTTGTCACTTTCATATCAGAAGCACTAAAACCTCCATGAACCCTTAAACGAAGACTCTTCCACCCTGTACCACAGTCCATATAAAAAATAGTCTCGCCAAATATCAAAGGACTTGACCACCCAAGTAAAAGAGAGAGATATTAAGGCATTTGAACAGGCCGGAAAGCAGACATTGCATACCTGCAGGCAACGCACCTCTCTGTGGACAAGTCGGGGAAACTTAAGCGCACATGGCATCTCCCCAAATGCAAAGGTTGGTGGCTCTCGAAATCAACGAAATATTACATTTCATTTTGACTTAACTTTCGTGACTGCAGGAAGTCATATTCTTGGTTCTTTTGATAAAGTCACGTAAAAAATAATAAAATGAAATAAAAAAAATAAAAATAAAATGTTTTACTTAAGTTTTTTGTTTTTTTTGTTTTCTATTTCCGTGACTTTACTGAAAGAACCAAGAATATTACATTTCACCCTGGAGAAACGTAGCCGACCCTGCCGGAGGATACGTGACGGTGCAAGTCACGGCGGAGGGGGTGGTACCCCGGTCACAGGATTGGTCACTCTGAGGGGGATTGTTCGAGACTCCCTGAAGGGCTACATCAGGGGGCAGCTTCATCTCGGCGACCTCGTGCCGAGCGGGGACAAAACCATTCTGGAGTAAGAATTGAACGTTGCTCAGCAGCGTCGAGAACGGGCTAAAAGGTAGCGCTATACACGCAAATCAAATGGCAGAGATTAACCAACACAGGCTCCGGCTAGATAAGCATCTTCATGAGACAGTCTCAAGGATGATGAGGTCCTCCCTGAGACGCTCAGACCCCTCCTGGACAGCGAGTAAAGATGCGGTCCCAAACGCAGCAAATCGCTGCCACCATAACGTGGAGAGGAGACGCACGTCGACAACAAGGATATTCACGTACAAGTTGAGAATTAACTAATCCATCCACGCTACTATAGATTTTTTTCAGGGTCAGCGTTGTTGACGAATACGAGTTTTTTTTCTTGTTATTGGTGGTGTGGTGCCAGGCAACAACACTCAGTTTATAGCGGTCTGCCCTTTTCACCGAGTGCCCTGCACATGTCCACTCGTATTGTGGGAATGGACGCACCTGGATCGGTTGGGCGACTGTTATCAAATCCCCCAAATCTGGTTGCATCTCACGAATCATCGATTACAAGTTCACGGTTTACATTCGACTGGGAAACAAATGGGCATGTTCACTATTGGTATTCTTTTGGGCTAGATCGTGCCGTAGGTATAACGTCAATTTGAGCTATAACCCACCACCACTCGACCAAAATCCAAACGAGGCAAGTTGTCTGTTGGAGATGTGTGTGCAACTCGATTTGGTTTTCCAGAAAACGGGCATGTTGAAAAGCAAGCGCAACGCTGGCAATCGTCTACGATGTTTCGCTGTAAATTACACCCAGCATCGTCGTCATCATCAGGTGCGAGCAAGAGGCTCTCGACTCTGGAGTGAGAACGTGCTTCTTGGTCCGTGCCCTGAAGCGGGCGCCAAGCCAGCGGGGGCAGCGGGGGCGGGGGGGGGGGGGGGGGAACAGCCGGCTGAGCTGGAACTCTGGAAGTGCCAGTTACCCTGCAGTCATTGATTTTCTACCGCACTTTATTTAGACGTTGAAAACTTTCGTTAAGTGCCATTTGCACGTGGATGACGACGGCGGGGGTCCCCCCTCCTCTGCCGTGTCCTCACTGTGGGGAGCATCGCGAGTCCGGGCCGCAGAGGCGACTCTCCGAGAGCGGCGTCTTGTGGTGTTGTGGGGGACCGAAGGAAGCGGACGGAGCGACGTTCCCCGGCGCAGGCCTCTCGCGACCCTCCTCGTCGTGACTGCCGGCCTCAGGCCTCGGCGCTGGCCTCGGGAGCCGAATTCTTGCCGAGCCGATGCCGTGTGCCATGCCAAGTGTGTGTGTAGGTTGCATGCGCTATGCAAGCGGTGACGTTTAAACTCCACTTCAGAATTTTGATGACCCAGGTGTGGAAGGTGAAGCTGTTTTACAGACCGGCGGACTGGTGTTGAGTCTGTAAACTCGCACGAGTAATTTTATGACTTGAGTTTACCAAATGTATGAGCACAGTTAGGGGGCGCATGTCTGCTATGCTTTGTGAGACCACGTGTGTGGATGGTAGTTTGGTATGGAATGTTTGTGTGTGCGTGTGACAATCCCACTCAAGCTCTGCTTTTGCAAGCAGGGGGAATAAAGTGCGCCTTCATGTCTGGAGAATATTGCGATCGACAATCGGGGATCCTCGCACGCACAATTGGAGGCACGGTTGTTGCTGGCTTAATCGATATTCAATTGTGGCATTGTTACAACCAAAATTTTACTGCTTTGCATTATCGACCAGTTTGTGACTAAGAAAAAATAAATCTGTGCCTGGGTGCGAGTGAAGTTTGTGACGTCCCCGAATTGATGAGGGGCGAGACGGCGGCCGTGGTTGCTCGGAGCTCAAACTCGCTCGCTGGGTGGTCGTGAGGGTTGTCGCCTGGCGCCTGGACCCCTCCTCCAAGCCATGGGTCCCCCCGGGTGCAGTTGCAATGCCGGCAAACCCGACGGCTGCGACACTGCCTGCAACTTTGACGACCCCAACATGGCCCCGCCAGCCCCTTACCCCGGACACCAACCTCATCCTCGTACACGCATCGTGTGAGCACCCTCCCCGATTGTTTTTCTGGCAGCCGATTGGCCGGTGTAGCAGGAGCCGTGATGTAAACGCCAGTCCATCTGTACCATCTGGCTGGGACGCGCCACCCACAAACTCCAGGTTTTTGGTACCAAGCAGTTTCAGAGCCGGTGTGAATCATTTCCTGGAAGTTTTTTTAATGGCTGGTGGTGTGATTGTACTCGTGATGTTTCTGATGTCTAATGATGATGCTGGTTTAGGTAACATCGTTACTTTATATTTCTGACCGCCATGTAATGGTGTTGATGTTTTATAGTGGTCTAAGGTTAGAGAAGTAGTTCATTACTGTGGACTCATTGTTTGGCATCGATGGTGATCAGGGAATTGACAATGTGTATGGTGTTGACGGTGATGATGTGATGGTCATTCCATTCTCTTTGCGATTTGCACTCGGCTCGTCCAAGATAATTGGCATTGATCGAGCATGTTTATTATCATTATTCACGCGTATTTTTGGTCAACAGACTTTCAAACCTCACGGACTCGGACGCAAATTCGCGATTAAAAAAAAAGCCATAAATAAAAAAATTCACTTAAGACCAGTAAACCATTGCAGACCTCACAGCTGCTTTGTAAAAGCATAAAAAAGGTTAAAAAAGTACTTTCAGAAGACAACACGTCATAGTGAGATCGTGTGGGACCCTCTTGAGGCAAGGCTGGGCTGAGATGATAAATTAATAATTATTTCAGCCTGAGGTGGGGGCCGGCTGGCTGAAAAAAGAATGGAGTTTTAATGGCCAAAACCAGCACCCTTTAGATCCCTGGGTTGATAACCAGGTTCACAGCTGCCATTAATTAAACAGCGTAAAGTCGATGTTGCCAATGATAAATACACACTCCAGCCTTGTGAAGAGAGTCTCGCATTCACCACGAATATTCAAGTAATTTTCAGTCTTCAAAATGGGGACGAGGAGCACGTGGAGCGGGGAACGAACAAACGTTGGAGACGTCACACGGAGGGACGGACTGGTGATGCGGCAAATGGGCCTGGACCGGTGGCGTTTTTAATCGCCAGAAGGGTTGATTATGGGTGATTATGGGTGATTATGGCCAACGAACAAGACCGGTGACGGCATGGCGGCCGAAGGAAGGACCGCGGCCTATTTGAGGATGACCACCGCCGTGGAGGTCGAGCGACGGGGCCATCGCGAGTGCATCGGTGAGACGAGACCGATGGGTTTCAGGACTGTGAATAGGTGGCAGTATATCGAGTCCATCCAGCAGTCGTTAGATCACGATACGTGGTGACGAACAAGTGCCGGCCTTCAGCAGTGGATAGACCATGGCAGATGCTACCGACGCCAAAAACGACGATGCGTAACAAGAAATAAAATGGGGGGGGGGGGGGGGGGGGTGTCACCGCGGCCCAACTTTGGGGGGCATGAGCGGTTTGGGGGGCAGCAGTGGCCGGGATGGGCCCCCCCCTCTGATGCCGGTGGAGAGAAGCGGCAGGGGCTTGCAGGGGACGGGCGGGCGGGGCCTGGGCTGTGGCTGTTGGGGAAGAGAAGGGGGTACGAGAGACGACACACGGGATGAGAATTATCCACAGATTCGGCATAAATCCCAAGGCTGGGATACAGCCAGGCTATAACAACGCATCGCGAACAGCCCTTTTGTCAATCCACTGCTGGATGAGGGCCTCCCCACACCATGCGTGGCGTGGGGGTTATTTGACCACACTTCACACCGCTCGGAGTTGACGAGGGTGGGGAGCGTGGCACAGGAATTGGTATTGCTTCACTGCACTTCTACTGACCATGTCTGCACAAGGCAACGATTGGATTAAAGTCAGGCGTGTAACGTACCAATTGCAGCCAATCCTGAGACTTGTGATACACGTGATCCCTCGTGACCCCTGTAGCCACTGGAGGGCGCTAGAGTCTATGTTAGGAAAATAAAATAAGATTTTTAAATTATATCTTGTGCGACTGCAGAAAGGTTCATGTCGCTATTAACTTGAACCAATCTCCCACGTGCTCTATCATAGACCAATTTACCATTCATCAGGCAAGTTCAGCGAGTAAATATTTTGTAAAATTTGTAATACAAATTTTCACACATCCTTTTCGGTTTTTTGTGTGGCTCAATCGTTTTTGCCCCGATTTATATTTGCTTCATTGTTATACTTTTAATAAAATTGTCATTTTGGTGACTCGGGGTCACTGCTGAAAATTTGAATTCTATCCTGGTCTCTTCAGTTCTCACCTGCATAAATAAAGCAACCAGGTGAGAGCCAGGTGCCCTGTACACATGCCCTGTACACGTGCCACAGGCAGCGTGGCGTGGTGCGAGGACGGGCGTGGGACAAACCACAAAAAACACCAACCGAACGCGACACGGCCGCTCATTACCGCTGCCTCAGAGGTCGGCGAGGTCGGCGAGGTCACCGACTTGAGGGGCCGTGGCCTGAACGGAGCCCCGGGAGGAGCGGGGGCAGCCTTGGAGGGACTCTGAAGGAACAACGCGCGTGTCGCAGCAACGGTGCCGGGGGCCGCTGGGGGCGGTGCGGGGAGCGGCGCGGGAGCGGCGCGGGGAGGGGCAGCCGTTGTTGGGCCGCGTGGTTCGTGCTCGACTTGAAGCGGGGGCTTGAGATGGCCACTGCCGTCGTCGTCTTGGTAACGCTGGCGGTGGCCACCGTCGTCGTCTTGGCAACGCTGGCGGTGCTCCTGCTGCGAGTTGTAAGAGGGGCGAAGCGGCGGAGGTTCATTTTAGTGGTGGACTGTCTGCTGATGAGGCACCACGTGCCGATAAGCCGGTTCGGCATTTTGCTTGTACCTGCCAAATCAAAGCCGTTGAAATTGTGCACTCCCAGAAGGCCGTTGGGCCGACGGGCTGTGAAATGAATACTTTTATCATTCACGTGGAGGCCAATGATATGTGTGGAAGAGGTATTTGTATGCTCCTCTGTTATGTCTGGAAAATGAGTGTTAGCGAGCGCCTATTAAGGTTGTGCCCAGGTCACTGGCAAATAAGACTCTTATGGTCTCTTGAGTTCTCACCGGGGTTAAACGAAATGTGATTGACTTGTACGCAGGAAGACATCCACATGCACGTGTACACAATCCCTACTCCCCACCACATGTATAAAGACCAAGACAAAGATCCCGTGTATAGCCTTAACAGAATGTCGAGACAAGTGCGAGCACCTATAAAGGCCGGTATGGCACACCAGGGGGCGGGTGATACAGCTATAGTGCTGTGACGGTTCCACCTGAAGACGGAAGCTTGTGTTGCCTCCGAAACGCCGTGATTTTTATTTTATTTTTATTTTACGTTTATTAATTAAACTTTTTTTATCTACGTGACTTTACTGAAAAAAACCTAAGAATATGAATCCTTGCAGTCATGAAAGCTTCAAATCTAGAAAGATAATACTGTTTGACTCGGAGTGAGACTTCCTCTGTTAAACTAGAGCTGGTCATGAGCACATTTCCCGGATATGGAACCCTCTCCACTCAACTGCCCAATTGCTCCTGAAAGAGTTGAGGCGGTGGGTAGAGTGCTCTGACGCAACATACCCAGGCAGGTGCTATGTTTTAGTGGGCAGTGATTACCAGGGCATCGAGCATAAAGCAACATGGTTGACCAATAGGAAGCCATCCCTTGACCACAAAAGGCATTGATAAGCCTCTACTGAGAAAACCATGGAAAGAGTTTTTGAGCTACAGGATCAGAACAAAATATTTGAAATCGTGTTAGGGGCCAAAAAAAACCAAATCCTCGTTGCACCCCAAGGTAAATACAAAAACTTGCCAACACCCGGGTCCTTTCAGCCTTACCGGGGCCTGCGCAGCAATTCCAAGGCCCTTATTGATCGTAAACAGAGGGTCACGACCCCTTTAATGGTGTTGTTGGCCCTGACCAGGTTAATAAAAAGGCACACACCTCCGCAAAGACAAACACTCCTATCTAGACAAACAGCTGTCAAGGCAAAGTGGTTGTTGAGGTGAGATTGGCACGGCGCACGGAGGGTGCTTGCAGACTACTCCAAGCTGCCTTTGCCTCCACAGTGCCGATGTTACCACACCGCACCATGTACTCGTTAATGGCCGAGCCCACCTAGGAGAGGCACATGACAAGATGTCGCGTCACTCGCCGCAGATGTTAACCGGAGCCAAGAAACCGGGGCTGGTGGCTTTCGTGGCGCAGCGTGCAAAACCGCAGCAGCACCGCCGCCGCCACCACACCGCCGCCATCAACCACGAAGCGGCAGCGACGTCATTACAGTGTTCGTGCCAGGCCAGGTGCACACACTGGTGCTCTCACCTGTCGTGCTGCTTGTAGCCGATGCTCGTTCTCCTCCGTCGACGGACACACACGGCCGCCACCACCGCTACCACCACCACTGCCACCACTGCCGCCACCACCGCACAGACCACCACCACCACCACTGGCAGCCCTGTGGGGGGCGAAGAGAATGGGGGGTGGGGGTTGGGGGGGGTTACGGGTCGCAGGAGTCGTAATGGGGGGGGGGGGGGGGGCGGCAGGTGGATGGTCAGGAATATATTTAGTTGATGCAACTGTGTGGGTGTGGACGTACACATGCAACAAAGAGAGAGACGTGCTCCCTCCCCCGCCCCCCCCCCCCATACAGCCTGAACAGGATGTTGGGGCAAGTGCTGTTAGCGAGCAGCACCTCTGAAGGCCGGTACGGCACATGAGGTGGGTGGCCAGCACCACGCCTGGCCGCCTTTGTCTCCCCACTGGCGATGTTTACGACACATCGCACCAGGTACTCATTTTATAAGGTCGAGTGGAACTCGGTGGAGGCCCAGGACCGGTTAAAATATCGGTCGCCAATGGCGGCCGCGAGCGGTAATCGAACTCGGGTTGCACACGCGCACACGCTGGAAGCAGCAGCGACGGTTGGTGCATCACTGCACAGATGTGAAACTCCTTGCCCGTGGGTGTCGGGGAGGTGCCATACGGGGATCGAGTGTTGCCCCCTCGCACGTGTGGGTTTTCTCCGGGTGCTATGGCTTTCCTTCCACGTAAACAATAATTGGCCGATAACACCAAAATATATAGAGGACTGCAGAGCTGTGGGGTGGAGGGGGGGGGGAATTTGGCGCCGGCTGTTCGCCCGGCTGCCGCCTTTGCCGTTCGTCTGCAGTTTCTCCTGGCGCCTCCGAGTTGTTCTCTCTCCTGGACAGCGAGGATACCGTGCGGCGGCGGCACAGCGTCACCGGTTGAGTTTCCTCTTAACAAGAATAATAGTGAAGGATGAGAGCGTCTCACCTGCTCCACTCGCACGCTCCAGGCAGAACGGAGGCTCCCAGCCGGGGTCGCAGTGACACCTGCGCAGGTTGTTGCACACCTGGGACACGACGCACGCATTCCCATTACTCGGATCGTTAGGGTCGTTTGCGAGCAGTAATCGTGTTCGTGACGAGAGCGGTGATCGTGTTTGTGATGAGGGTCTGCGGCTGACCAACCCTCCACGTGCGGCCTCTGCACCGGGGTTTCCCACACTCCAGTCCTTGCGGCCCAACACTTTCAATCTTTTATGGTTACCGGGGCCTTATCCATTGAAATTTTAATTCAGTTGTTGCGCGTTGCACGAGCCGGATGATTGGTAAACACATCCCATCTGACATAGATGGTGATAATACAAATTGTGATTGTGTGTTTGTGTGTGTACGAGTGTACGTGTGCGTCACATATGGTACTCGCTAACAGCACTTGCTTCAACAGCCTGTGAAGGCTAGATGGGGGGCATCTTTGTGTGTCTGTGGTAAATGAGGAAAAGGCGGCCCGGAGCAGTGGGTCGCGAGGACTGGAGTGACACAACCGGCTCCTCGAAAGCTCGTCCACACGCGATCCCCACCCCGAACCCGTGTCGAATACGGTGGTGTCTCACCCCGTGGCCGTTGCACTTGGCCGTGCACTCGTCAGCGCCCAGCGAGCTCACGTCCTGGCACTTCCCAAAGACGCACACCTAGAGCATCCACACAAAGACAAAGAGATCCCCGGTGTAGCCTCAACAGACTGTTGGAGCAAGTTCTGTTAGCGAACACATAAGGAGGATGGCACGGCATACGTGGGGGTGGGTGGCCAGCACCACGTCCAGCGTACAAAAACAGCCGCCGTTCGCCACGAAGTGGCGGTGACGTCAGCGCGGCGCCTGCGCCGGGCCAGGCGCACTCCGAGGCCAAGTGAAGTGTCGAAGGCTCGCTGACAGGAGGTCACACACAGAGACATCCAGTTCTGATAATAACAATAAATTATCGGTTTACCTGCCACGGGACAAACATCCGTCTGTGGCAGGTCATGTGTACGAGAGTTCGTGGCTATACAAGCCACTCGAACGGATCAACTCCGCGACATCCACTCTCTGCGGGCCGTTCCGAAACTCCCTCGTTGGCGTGACGAGCACACCTTATCGTCGCCGCACTTGGTGCCAGAGAGGACGCTGCCGGCTGGGGGCTCCCCGGCAGTGGGGGGCCGCCCCGAGCGGTCGCTCTCGTGCCCAGCGATCTTGCAGACCGTGAGGGCGGCCCCCCAGGGCACACGCAGGGTGTACGTGACCCCTGTTATGGGGTAGCCCTCCCCCCCCACGCACTGTAGCTTCCCGCATCGCGTGTCCCTGTGGGGGGGGGGTGGGGGGGGGTAGAAGGGGTGGAGGGTCAGTCGGTAGATCGATGGGGGGAGGGCGGTGGAGGGAGGGGGCCAGCCTCCAATGTCAGTAGGAAATCAAACTTATCTGTTCTCTCCGCAATACATATATTTTCTAAATGATGAAGATTTTTACGAATAATTATTATTGCTGTTCTCGTTACTCTAATTAACAATAAGAGTGGCCTTTGCCCATGGACTCCACCAAGTCTTGCTCCTTGCAAGGGGGGTGCCGCTTATACTGGGGGGCGGTCTGGGCCCCCCGCGGCCTGCAACAGAGTTCTGCTTCGTGTCGGCAGAAATCATAGAACCCGGAGAAAACCCATCACCAGGGGGGCGGTTACACACAGATGGATTAAATAATCCATTGCTGATTGGGTTGCCACACCGTAACCCAAACCCAGCAATGCCTGCTATGCTCTCCCATCTGAGTACGCGAACAGGCCCGAGCAGGCCTGAGCAGGCCTGACCAGCCCCGAGCAGGCCCGAGCTTGCTAAGCTCTCGAAACTGGGCGGTGGGGGGGGGGGGTCTCACCTCTGGGCGCAGGCCACGTAGCCGTGCGTGTCCACGCCGCAGTTGCCGTACTTGTTTCCCTGCACGTTCACGCGCTCGAAGCACACGGCCGGCGCCACGTCCGCACCTACGGTGCACGGTACGGCGTGAGTCTCAAGGTCCCTCGTTGCGAGGGCATCCCCTCACCTTGGCCAGTCTCACTCGGCCACCCGCCCACTCACACAGCCGTCAGCTCACCACAACAGACAAATATCCCCCATATAGGCTTAACAGACTGTTGCTGCGAGTACTGTTGGCGAGCACCTATGAAGGCCTGTACGGCAAACGAGGGGGTGGGTGGCTTGTACCATGCCCAGCCGCCTTTGTCTCTCTAGTGGAACAAATTACACATTGCACCAGCAGGTACTAATTTGAGGTTGAGTTGACCTAGTGGAGGCCCAGGACCGATTCAGATAATCGTCACTGGTGTTGGCCGTGAGCGGGAATCGAACTCGGGTCACCGGTTTCGTACCGCAGTGTAGCGCTAACCACCACACTACCGCTCCCCAATCATCTCACCGCACACACACACACACTCTCTTTCACTCAAGGGAAGGAGGGAAAAGAAGCAATTAAGGGGCATCCCAAAGCGTGAGGTTGAAATGGAAGGGCTTGAGGAGTGGCTTGAAAGCAGACAGGGGGGGTGTGGAGTGGGTGGGGGCAGGGGGGGGCGGTGTAGGGACGGCGACTCCGTGATGTGCGGTGCTCCGGCGGGGCTTACCGGCGCCCCACAGCGAGCGGCACTGCTGGAGCGGCGTGGGGCACGCGCCCGAGTGGCAGAAGGCGGCGCCGCCCTGGCAGGGGGTGCCGTCCGCCATGCGGAGGTTGGGAGGGCACGACGGGGCGGCGCCGTCGCACGACTCCGGCAGGTCGCACTCGCTCCGCGCCGGGCGGCACTCCCTGCCCGCCGGTGCCACCTGCGCCAGCGTTGACAACAACCCGGCGAGAGCTTTTACAGAGCGTTCCCCCCCCCCACCACATGGATGGGCTGATGTGGGCAGTTGGGCGGCGGCAGTGTCGTGTGACCGTTTTGCAGGTCTGCGACACCGACGAATGAGGATGGTGGTCGTGGGTGACAAACTGCTGTTGTCTTCCCACAAAGTGGTGCTCACTTTAGTGATCACCGAGGAATGATGATGATTATGAACTAGATTTTGAAATCATGACCTTCTAATTGTGAGTTCGGTAAGATGGCCATAAAACTACCCAGATGCTGCATCATCACCGTCGTCATCGTCGTCATCGTCGTCATCGTAATCATCGTCATCGTCATGATCGTCGTCGTCAGCACCCGGTTGCTCTCCCACCTTGCAGCTGTCGCAGCAGGCCCCGTGCGCGCACTCGGCCCCGGGCTGCAGGCGGCAGGTGAGCGGATCGCAGCAGGGGTTGGTGCACTCCTGCGAAGACACACGAGACCGCGGCTCATCCACATCAGCCCTCTGTGCGTGCGATTGTCCGTCAATTCGTGTGTCGGTCCATCCCACAGTCTCGCCGCCCGTCCATGCAGCTTGACAATCCATCCGAGTGTCCGTCCGTGTATTCATCTATCACAAGTGTCCATCCGTCCATCCTTCCATGTGTACATCCATCCATACATCTGTCCCGACATCTGTCCAACTGTCCACGCATTTCTCCGCCCGTGTGTCCGTCTCGTCCGTCCATCCGTGCGTCCGCAAACCTCGGCGGTGCCGCAGTCACACTCCTCTCCGGGCTCCAGGAAGAGGTTGCCACAGACGGAGCCGCCGTAGACTTCGCCGGGCGCCGGTGGGGACAGCAGGCACTCGGCGAGCCCCGTCAGGAGGAAGTTGCGCAGGTCCCCCTGGCTGCAGCTGCTGAACTCGAGCGGGAACAGCGAGCTGAGCGGCACAAAGACAACAGATCTCCCGTGTAGCCATTGCAGACCGATGGGACAAGCGCCGTTTGCGAGCATCAACTAAAAGTTCATCGGGCGTGGGCGAAGGCACGCCTGCCACAGCTTTACGTGGCGGCGGGGAGGTGGGGGGCGATGCCGGCCATTATGACCCATTAAGGCCGTTACGACCCACTAGGGGCCCCGCCGACAGACTCTGAAATTCAGATCGAGGATGCACGAGAGGAGGCCGTGTGGCCCAGAGGTCAGCGACGCTGGGCCGGCACAGCTTCGGTCGCCCACTGCGATTAAGCAGAGTGCTCGAGTGCAGCGAGTGGATTGAACCGAGTACTCGGTGGTCTCAGCCGGGTCACCAATTACTGCACGCAAACAAATAAGCCACAGTTAAATTTTATTCCGCGTTTCCAATTGCCAAAATTCCAGCTCGGAGAAATGTCGGTTTGACCGTTATATATATTTATATATATAGATAGCGCTGCCCTCTACCGTGCAGACCAGAGGTCGATGGAGTGCTCTCGGAGGTAGCTCTGCGGTATCCGGTTCTGTGGGTCTCTAAGCACCACTGGGCGAGAGTTCCCAATGGATTCGTCGACTCGTGGCAACGCGACACCGATATCGATGGCACATTATGGCTGGCGGGTGAAGGGGCGCAATGAAGCAATTTTTGATTTGTTTATCGCGTCAGCGGCTCGTACCCAAGTCCGGGAGAGAGGAGGCAGCCGCCGCGCTCCTCGGGCGTGGCACATACGCAGCCCCGCTCCGCCAAGTCGTGGGTCATGCCCAGGTTGTGCCCCATCTCGTGCGCCATCGTCGTGGCGACGCCCACAGCGCTCGCGTGGTGGTCCTGCCAACGGGGGGGGGGGGGGGGGTTTGGAGAAGAGCCACGATATTAGAATCTTCATTATGATGGTGCAAAGAAAGAGAGGAATCGATGTGGCGCACTACGTGGAAAATGACAACGTGACGGCGCTGGTCCTTAGGAAAAAAACGTCACTGTTAGAATGAGAGAGCAGACGGCGAAGGTGGCGGCGATCGACGAGTAGACGAGAGAAGCGCGGCCAAAGGCAGAGGGGAGAGGGGACACCCCGAGGACGGACGCAGGGGATGTGGCATGGGGAGTCGTGCGCACGGGGGGGATGTTGGACTGCCGTGGCGCTGCAAGCGGAGCGACGTGGAGACTGAGAGAAAGAGCGGCCGCCCTCACCCCCCCCCCCCCCACGCACCTGATTGATGGCACCAGACTGGCGGATGGAGCACATGCCCGAGATGGGAGCCAGGCCCACTGTGTCACCGACAAAGTCCATCCCGCTGTGGAGACGACACAAGGGGGAGACACAAGGGGGGGGGGGGTGGTGAGATGGCGTCGCCCACCTCGATTCCACGCCCACCACAGGCTGTGCGCGCGTTGATGAGATTGTAATTTTTTAGATTTTTGTTACACAATTTAATTCCAACTGGCACTGCGTGGGATCCAGGGTGGGGGGTGGTCGGGGCGGAGTGACGTCGGCAACGCGACTCACGTGAGGAGCTGCGTGTTGTCGTGGCGCTTGCGTGGCACGAGGTGGAGGAAGCGCCAGTCCAGAAAGCGGTCGAGGGTGAGCTTGGGGTCGGAGGTGATGGGCGCCTTGTCCTCGTGGGTCCACACTTCCAGCCCCACGAGCGCCACGCGGATGTTGAGGGGGCGGTAGAGCTACAGGCCGCCGGGAGAAATCACCGTCATCGGCAGGAGAAGCCGTGATCTGTCTACTGCCGGGCGAACGCTTCTCAAAAGCCGTTGCCGTCTCTCACGATCGTGCGTCCGGTACACGCACGCCACGGGCCGGTTGCCACTCCTCCGGTTCTCTCAACCGATGACCGCGGTGCCTCTGCTAGCCGTGCCGCGACCCGGCCACGCTTCCGTTTGTTCCCTCCGTCGCTGCGGTCGCAAGCGCGCGACTCTCCACGCTCTCTGGTCATTATATTAACGGGCATTTATTGACGCCGTTCGTTCGCGAGCCGGGAGCGGATCCAGCGGTTGGGAGTGCAAGGGGTTGATGGATCACACGGAGATTTGCAAAACTCACAAACCTCGCCGGGTCTACGAAGGGGCCAGGAGATGGCAACACCGGAAGTGCGTTCCTTGAACCCATCTGTGTAGACCTTTGAGTATTTACCCTCCCTTGCATCACGCGTGGCGAGCTCTCTCTGGCTGCGCTGGCTCCCTAACGCGCGCACGGCGCTGAACACTCCCTCGTTCTTTTTTTTTTATATCGCCGTCATCGCGTGGCGCATCGGCTCAGTGGTCAGCACGTCCGGCACCACGAGGCTGGCTAGCCCGAGTTTGAGTCGCAGCCACGGCTGACCATGGGCGCCGTCACGTGGTCGCAGCGCCGGCTCACCTTGTCCACGTGGTTCGTGATCTCCAGAACGCGCTGGCGCACCCGCTGCATGTCGCGCCCCAACTTGATGAACTGGACACAACGACAACAACCGACACAACAAACACGGTGGTGGAAGGCGTGAGGTGGGGGACGAATGGGCGGCGTTCCCGACCAAAACGGCTGGCGCGCAATGCAGTGGCGATGGTGGAGACCACTTGCCACGACTTATTTTTTTTTGGCCAAAAAAAAGTCTCCGTCGGTTAATTGTCCCCCGACAGCGATTTGGCGCAGGCCCAGCCGCCATGCGGCGAGCAAGGTGGCGGCAACGCCAACGACGGTCTACGGAGGAATGCAATGATCGTAATGACGACGACTATTACGACGACGATGACGACGAACGAACTCGGGGTGAACCGGTGTAATGAACGGGCGGCGTAACGAACGGCGGTGAGCGTGCACCGCACCTCGGCGTTGTCCACCACGATGACGAGCGAGACGTATTTGGTGTCGGAGAGCAGCGCCCGCTGCACCTCGGTGACGGGCGCCACCATTGCCGCCACGCGGGGGCGGCCCGGCTGCCAGGGCGGCGACCACGGCGACGCGTCGCGGTGACGATAACGAGGAGGAGGAGGGGACGACGGTGGAGGAGGGGAGGGCGCCGCGTCCGCGACCCCGCAGGTGGCGTGGGGCTCGGCGGAGCGGCGGACGCGTGACGAGGTGTGCTCCCCCGAGGAGGAGCCGGGGAGCGGCTCCACCACGTAGCTCCCGTGGGAGACACGGAGGAGACCGCTGTTGGTGGGGGCGGGGGGGGGGCAGGGCGGGAGGAGGGTGAGGTCAGGGTGAGGGCCAGATGCAGGGTTAGTGTCTGGTTGGGCTCGGGGTAGGGTTAGCGTCTGGTTGGGTTAGGGCTAGACGCAGGGCAAGTGTCTGGTTGACCACGATATCAGCTCGACCACCTGGTCCCGTGCGAAGCCACTGTTGTGCCTTACCGGAGGCCATCGCAGGTGCTGAGGCTGACAGAGGAGCCCGGCTCCCCCTCCACGTGGCCCTGGTAGAGGCAGTGGCTCTGCGAATGGAAGGAACAGGGCACGATCGGAGAGCTCTGTGAGATTTCACAATCGGACGTGATCAATCTGCTGCTGGATGACGGCCTTCTTTCCCAAGCACCCCCCCCCCCCTCTCATGGTCCTCTGGTGGAACAATCCACAGAGCACCCCCTGCGTGCGCACGGATGGATTTCGTCGCTCCATCTCCATTGGGGGCTGGGCCTCCCAGATGCGTTCTTTCCCTCGACTGCCACTCCGTCGTAATTCTTGGTCAAGCCAAGCCCGCTCGCTCGCATCACAATGGTGTCTCGATGCCAATTCATTAAGCAGGGAAGTCACACCGAGGCTCAAGACTCCCAATCAGGAGGGTCCTGCTGCATTGGAATGTCTGACCACGACTTCCATTCAGGAGATTTTGGCTTCACGTGGAACCACCCAGTAAGCACCCACCACCATGCACACGAGCTGGGAAAACACTCAAGAGCTCCGCACGGGATGGATTCAAGAGTCCGCTGCCACACTCTTGACGTCCCGTGGCCACCTCTCGGCAGCCTCCGTGGCCCCAGGCCACGGACGAAGAAACTGAAAGGGAACTTACGAGGATTATCAACTCACCCGTTCCACCGTCGTGTTTGTCACCGGCGTCCCGTCGGCCAGGTAGTGGAACTCCGTGTAGTCTTGCGACATCAGCTCCCTGGAGACGAGCCAAGTTCGACACCAGTCACAGGTGTCCAGGACGAACTTGCGAGGCTCGTAATGACGCAGCGGCTCGTCGATTCGATGCCACTCCACGAACATTTACCGCCGCGGCACGGGGCCCGGTAAACAACTCGGTGTGTGAATGCGCAGTGCTCCCTCCCCATCCCTCCCCCTCCCTCCCTCCCTCTCCCTCTCTGCCATTGGCCGGCAGCCTCTCACTGAGCGCACGCTTGGCTTGCGCCCGATTGGCCGGATGCTTGGCGCTCGAATCGGATTGGCCAGGGGATCCCAAGGGTGGAAGCCCCGGGAATTTCAAATTGTAATTGGGGGGGGGGGGGGGCTGCAGGGGGGTGGGGGGTCGGTTGAAGACCGGTTAAGGGGTTTAAAGGGGAGGGTGCCGACGACGATGATGATGACAATGAACCCTGGTGAACCGGTGTAATTTAAACTAGAAACTTTTTTTAATCACCAGGTAAGGCCCACGGAGCTATGTAAAAAAATTCACGCGACCACGGTGAAAGAGATGTGCAAATATACAGCAGCAGTCGTCAGGGTCAGGATCGAACCCACGACCTGTATAACAGGCGAGGTAATTGACAGCAGCACGACTCCTCACCGGTTCCTCCGCAGCGCCACCACAGCGTCCCGGCCCCCGACCCGCACCGCGTATCGCGCCTGGTCGGGCCAGCGACCCTGCTGAGTACAAGAAGGGGACACGCACGTGGTCACGTGGTCAGTCGCAGCAAGCACGTGGTCCCGTGAACCCATCATCCGTGCAGACCTCTAGCTCCAGACTGCGGTCTGGGGATCGAACTCAGGTCGCCAAGGTCATAGCGCAGTGCACCAACCTCCGTGCCACCGCTCTGTCCCGTAACACTACCAACACGTGTAAATTGAAAATAATCGATTTGCATAACGGACTGCGATCGTAAGGATTAATTACGATTGGGGATTACAACGGCAGCCGCTGTCTGTCTGGAATGGACGATGTAGGGAATAGTTCTGCCTGTGGCTAGCGAGAGTGTGACGGACGATGTGGATGTGGAGTGGACGTGGACGTGGAGTGGACGTGGAGTGGACGTGGAGTGGACCTGCTGGTGGTGGGGGACGTCTGTGGCTAGTGAGAGAGTGACGGACGATGTGGATGTGGAGTGGATGAGGAGTGGATGTGGAATGAACCTGCTGGTGCTGGGGGACGTCGCGACGACTCCGCGACTCCTCCAGGATTCTGGGCAGGAAGACATCTTCCTGGGATAGGTGGATCACGGGAGCGTGGCTCCTACCTGCACGCCATCACCGATACATCGCCACACTCCATCACCGAACCATCGCCACACTATCATCACTACCAAACATCACCCCAGCACCAACTATATATATCCCACCATCATCACTATCACCATCAATTATCACCAACACTCACCACACCAAACCAACAGAGCGCACATCACCGCACCCATCACATCATCATACACCATCACATCATCATACACCATCACCAAACCCATGACGTCATCATACACCATCACCACACCCATCACATCATCATACACCATCACCAAACCCATGACGTCATCATACACCATCACCAAACCCATCAAATCATCATCATACACCATCACCGCACCACCCATCACGTCATCATCATACACCATCACTGAACTAAACCAAGTGTCCCACACCATCTCAAAACCATCCACACGATCGCCAAACCCATCATCTCACAGCATCACCGACCCATCATCCTCCACCGTAGTGACACAATAACAAACACATTTGTAATAGACGTGTGCGCGATGGGTATGCAGAGTACATAGAGTGGGGAGCGGTGGTGCAGTGGTTAGTGCATGGGGCTAGCAACCTAGCAACAGAGGTCAACTGCCGCTCAAGGTTAATATCGGAGACGAAGTCTGAACCAGTCCTGGGCCTTCCCTAGATCGACTCGGCCGTCAATGAGTACCTGGTGCGGTGTGCAGATATCAGCGCTGGGGAGACAAAGGCTGCCGGGCGTGGCCTTCAAAGAAGCTCACCGACTGCACTTTCCCCAACTGGCTACAATACACGGGGGATCTTTGTCTTTGTACATGAATACACGTGTTCCCATGGTACATCTACACACGTGCGCTCTTACGCACAAACGGGCACCACCCATTGCACAAAGACAAAGGCCCCTGGCCCCTGGATAGTCTCGCATACAGTATGCTCCTGATAAGGAGCCATGAGCCTGGGGAAACAGGCGTCATCATGATACAAGACAAAGACCCCTCCCCCCCAGTGTAGCCTCTCACAGACTGTAGGGGCAAGTGCTGCTACTATGAAGGCCGGCACGGTACACGAGGGGTGGGTGGCCGGCCACTACGCCCGGCCGCCTTTGTCTCCCCAGTGGCGACATTTAGACATCGCACCAGGTACTAATTTGAGGCTGAGTCCATCTAGGGGAGGCCCAGGACCAGTTCAGATAATCGTCACTTACACACAGCTACACTACACCACACACACACAGCTACACACACAACACACAGCTACACACAACACACACAGCTACAACACACACAGCTACACACACACACAACTACAATACACACAGCTACACACACACACAACTACAACACACACACAGCTACACACACACACAGCTACACAACACACACACACAAACAGCTACACAACTCACACTCAGCTACACACACACAGCTACACAACACACACACACAGCTACACACACACAGCTACACTACACACACAGCTACACACACTACACACGGCTACAACACACACATACCACACTACACACACACAGCTACAACACACACACACAGCTACAACACACACACAGCTACACACCTACACAACACACACAGCTACACACCTACACACCACACATAGCTACACACCACACACACAGCTACACAACACACACAACACACATACACACAGCTACAACACACACAGCTACAACACACAACACACACAGCTACACACACACAGCTACACAACTCACACACTACACACACACAGCTACACAACTCACACACTACACACACACAGCTACACAACTCACACACTACACACACATACACAACTCACACACTACACACACATACTACACAGCTACACAACTCACACACACACTACACACACAGCTACACAACTCACACACACACTACACAGCTACACAACTCACACACTACACACACACAGCTATACAACTCACACACTACACACACATACACAACTCACACACTACACACACATACACAACTCACACACTACACACACATACTACACAGCTACACAACTCACACACACACTACACACACAGCTACACAACTCACACATACACTACATACACACACTACACACACAGCTACACAACTCACACACACACTACACAGCTACACAACTCACACACTACACACACACAGCTATACAACTCACACACACACTACACACACACAGCTATACAACTCACACACACTACACACACACAGCTACACAACTCACACACACAGACGCCTCCGTGCGAGACGACACAGCTACACAACTCACACACACACTACACAGCTACACAACTCACACACTACACACACACAGCTACACAACTCACACACACAGCTACACAACTCACACACACACACTACACACACACACAGCTACACAACTCACACACACACTACACAGCTACACAACTCACACACTACACACACACAGCTACACAACTCACACACACACAGCTACACAACTCACACACACACACAGCTACACAACTCACACACACACACAGCTACACAACTCTCACACACACACACTACACACACTACACACAACTCACACACACACTATACACACACACTACGCACACACACAGCTACACAACTCTAACACACACACACTACACACACACTACACACACACACAGCTACACAACTCACACACACACACAGCTACACAACTCACACACACACACAGCTACACAACTCACACACACACACACTACACACACACACAGCTACACAACTCACACACACACTACACACACTACACACAACTCACACACACACTATACACACACACTACACACACACACAGCTACACAACTCTAACACACACACACTACACACACACTACACACACACACAGCTACACAACTCTAACACACACACACTACACACACACTACACACACACACAGCTACACAACTCTAACACACACACACTACACACACACTACACACACACAGACGCCTCCGTGCGAGCCGACACAGCGGGCGATTTGTAGCGGAGCGGAGTGGCGACTCGCGCACCAGAGGCACGCGCGGCCGCCTCTGTCTCTCCCCACGTTTGTCTACGATCAGGCCACCCGGCATATCGAACGTACTCAGTTTGGGCTGAGTTGACCTACGCGTAGCCCGCGACGGTGAATCGCAGTTAACTTGTACAGTGGAGGCGACGGGGCGGACACCGAAAGCGAACTTCCCATCGCTCCGCAAATAGCGACACGAGGCACCCCACACGGACACGATCCATCCACGATCCTCACGATCCCCACGGCCACCGCTGCACCGATCCACGTGAATCCGACCACGACCGCGAGTTCCCGGTCCCGCGCCGCTCGACCCCCATCATCATCAACATCATCACCATCATCATCAACATCATCACCATCAACATCATCACCATCATCGTCATCAACATCATCACCATCATCATCATCAACGTCATCACCATCATCGTCATCAACATCATCACCACCATCAACATCATCATCAACATCATCACCAACATCATCATCAACATCATCACCAACATCATCAACATCATCATCAACATCATCACCACCATCAACATCATCATCATCACCATCAACATCACCACCATCAACATCATCATCAACATCATCATCATCACCATCAGCATCATCATCACCATTATCATCATCACCACCAACATCATCACCATCAGCATCATCACCATTATCAGCATCAACATCACAATTATCACCATCAACATCATCAACATCATCACGATCATCATCATCAACATCACCACCATCACCATCGTTCACTTCTCTCGAGTTTCTCGTCTGATTGGGGGGCCGTGGGGGGGGGGGGGCTCAAGGGCTGTCGACTGCGCCCCCCACAAGGACCGCTGTCTCAGCCGAGTTCCATTCGCGGCCACGGCGGTCTGGGGACGTCTCGCGTCGCCTCTCTCCTTGACCCCCCCCCCCCCCCCGGGGTTGCTGACCCAAGTGGTGAAGTATGGTCAAACAGGGAGGAAACGCTCATCCAGCGGTGGATTGACGAGAGAGGGAGGGGGGCGAGGGTTGGGAGACTGTAATTCATTGACTCATACGCGGCGTGTTAATTATAAAACACAGCAACATTTGTGTTTAAAGATCGTTGTTCGTTCAGATGTGATTCAAGCACGCGCTTACCGCTAGCAGCTGGTATCCGTGACCTCGTTGCGACGGCACCGATGATGTGGAAGAGGATGAGGGTGGCGATGGGGTTCGGGAGGCGATGGTGGTGATGATGTAGGAATCTCATTCCTCGGGAAGATGAAGACGCGATGATCGCTCGCTCGCTCCCTCGCTCTCGTTCAGGCCTCGTCTCAGCCGGGAGCGTTCACCGAATGAGCCTTCACCATCATCATCATCCCCACTGCCACCACCACCACGGGCGGTACCAGTGGGTGGTGACTCCTCGTGGTGGTGGTGGAGGGAGGGAGGGAATGGGCCAAGTTCTGTAATTTACAAAACCGCGAGACAAAGACAAAGATCCCCCGTATAGCCTTCAACAGACTGCTGGGGCAAGTGCTGTTAGCGAGCAGCACCAGTGAAGGCCGGCACGGCACACGAGGGGCTGGGTGGCCAGTACCACGCCCGACCGCCTTTGTTTCCCCAGTAGCGATGTTTACTACACACCGCACCAGGTACTCATTTGAGGCTGAGTCGACCAAGGAGAGGCCCAGGACCGGTTCAGATAAGAATCGTCAACGATGGTGTTGGTGGCCGTGAGTGGAATTCGGGTCGCCAGGTTCGTATCGTAGAGCGCCATCCGTTGCACCACTGCACCCCCAAACCACAAGGCACCGTCCAACACGTGCCCCCCCCCCACCACTACCCCCCACCACTATCCCCCCACCCACCACTATGCCCCCCACCACTACCCCCCACCACTACCCCCCCACCACTATCCCCCCACCACTACCTCCACCACTATCCTCCCCACCACTACCCTCCACCCCACCACCACTACCTCCATCACTATCCCCCCCACCACTACCCCCCACCCCCCCACCACTACCCCCCCACCACTATCCCCACCACCACTACCTCCACCACTATCCTCCCTACTACCCCCCCACCACTACCTCCACCATTATCCTCCCCACCACTACTACCCCCACCACCACTACCCCCACCACCACTACCCCCACCCCCCCACCACTACCCCCCCACCACTACCCCCGCCATTATCCTCCCCACCATTATCCTCCCACCACTACCCCCCCACGACCACTTCCCCCCCCCACCACTCCCATTTCTCCCCCACCCCCATCACCCCCATCGTCACAGTTATCGTGAGCAGCAGAGGCGAGTAGCACCCCCCCTCCCTCCGGCTTCATCGCCTCCCTCATAGCCAGCCGCAAGCAGCCGTGGATTACTCAGGTTCTGTCCCACGCCGACAGAAGTTCTCCATTTCAATCCGCAGACTTGTTCCAGGAATTGTATAGACGGTACAGTGTGCGCTGTGTTCAGGTCGCCTGGATAAATGTCTCTCCCGGGCGGCTGGGGTGTGTGTGTGTTGAACTATTGCGTGGAAAAAAAGTTCAACAAAGTTGGAATATTCGACCCCAGGCCAGCATTCGATTGCAAGAAACACGTTTTCGATTCCGACTCGGGACAGAAGTTACAGGAAACGGCCCTTAAGATTTGTCTCAAGTCTGACGAACGCCCACAATGTCGTAACTTTTTTTTTCAATACAGTATATACATTTCAACTCTTCGTTTTACGATGAGAGTACAAGAGTGAAGAGAAATGGTATATTAAACCGAATATAAAATGTCCAACGTTCTCTGACTGTAGCCCCAGACTGGGTGGTTAATCGATCCCGTTGATGACTTGGCAGGACTGTTGGTAATTTCACTCATCATAACTCGCAAAGTATGAGCCATACAATACTGTACACGGAAAATTAGTCTAACAATTATACACGCAATTTTCTAAATGTACGTTTTGTTTCTTGATAGGGCGTGACCTCTTCCTGGAGAGCAAACAATGACACGGAGAGAGACAATAGCCACATCAGACACCGCCTCACTGCCATCTGCGAGCCTCAATCAATACATATTTTGGAGCTGAATCCAGCAGTGGATTAACACATTTATTTTGCGGCGCAGTATTGTTATTACAATATTAACCATCTTAAAGAGAGGGTCTATTGCCCGTCACATCCGGCAGGACACCACGACCAGTGATTCCAGTAAGACTCTACTCTGAGTTGTTGTTGTTGTCGGTGTTGTTGCTTGTCCTGAATCAATGCTGCTGCTGCTGATGGGCTGTGCAACAAACACTTTCATTTAACTTTGTAATATTAATGAGACGCCTGTTCATCATCTACTCTTGTGATATATGAATAATAAACCGAACACATTTTTTTAGTTTACCAGGTAGGGCCCGCTGAGCTATAGAGCTATTTTTTTAGAAGCGACCTGACCACAAATGATAGATCAACAAAGTGGCTTATCACGTGGACACTTATATCAGCCAAATACTCTAAACGCGCGTGGATTATAAAAACGGAGGGAAAAACTCGGGGGACCCGGATAAAAATGCATGCGGCCACGGGGAGAGAGAACATGCAAACTCCATATACAGTGTGATTCCAGGCAGGTATTGACAATGATGGCGAATAAGTGAAGACTCTTTGACTTTTTGCAGCTATTAACATGCATTTGTTGCCATGTCACAGTGTATTATCCTTGCTTTTTCCATTAAAAACGTGTTGTAACATTGATTTCGAAGCCCCCTGTACACAAGCGTCAGGGTTGGGATTGAACCCACGAACCTCCTGCCGACCAGGCGAGGTAATGAACATCTCGCCACCGCGGTGCCCTTCACTGCCTGGAATCGCGCAAGGAGAGCGGTGGGGTTTGTGTTGTCGGTGCGAGGCGGAAGGGAGAGAGGGAGTAGGAGTAGTGGCAGCAGGGTGCGCCGTTCGCCCCCTTCACTGCCGGGGGCGAATATTCGCCAGCCGCAGGGAGCCGCGCGGTCCTCTCGGTGGGGGCGAGAAGGGCACCAGCCGAGGCGGCGAGCAACATCGCCACTTTAGGAGATGGTTAAATAAAGAAATAATGGCCAGACGCGCGCCTGGCGCTCGCCTAAAAATAAAATCGACGTTTTAGTCCATCACCCTATCGGCCTCATGGGACGTGTGTTTTTGTTGTTGTTGGTGGTGGTGATGTTGTCTTCTGTTTGTGCCAGCCGCAGTTGATGTAAGCAGCCCGAAGCTCATGCCGGGGAATCGAACCTGACCCTCGCAGGCGCACATCCACTCACACACACAAAGGCAAAGATCCCCCGGGTAGCCTCAATAGACTTTTGGGGCAAGTGCTGTTGGCGAGCGCCTATGAAATCCGGCACGGCACACGAGGGGGTGGCGTGGCCAACACCACGCCCGGCCGCCTTTGTCTCCCCAGTGGCGATGTTTAAACACAGACACACACACACACCCATTGGAGGCTCAGTCGACCTAGGCGAGGCCCACACTCTACTCGCACACATGCACAACACAGCCTCGCACATTGGCACAGATACAATCAATCCCGCATCGTAATCCACGGCGTGTGTTTAGGAACAGCGCGAGTCGCAGAGCTGAGTCACGGCCAGCGGTTGCGAAGACGGCGACACATTCCGTGCTGCACTCATACAGGGGGGAGGGGAGGGGTCAGACAAAGGCAATTCAATAATTAACTAAAATACAAATCCTGGCAATTTCCGTGAACATTAGCGGCGTAGTTCTGGCGTGATCGTCAAGCACACGAGATCGAGCACCGAGATTTCGTAATCTAAACACTCATCAGAATCGGGATGAGTCGTCCTCTCGTTCCGGTACAGACTCGGTGAGTGAGTCACCACCGCCACCACCATCATCATCCGTGACCCAATCATCCGGAATGGGTCGCATCGCGCGAGCCAAGCATGGGTGGGGGACCCGAGGTGGGGGGTGGGTGGCCTCGAATTTTACCAGGAATGGCACCGCCACTTAGTGGTGAACGGCGGTTGTTGGGGGGGGGCGCCATGCATAAAAGGTGATATAGGCTGCGGGGCTGACGTTGTGTGGGTGGGCAGCAATAGGGACATTAAAAAATCAATTGTACTGTACTCCTATGCTCACCGGCTTAACCAATCCGTTGCGCTCGACCAACAGCATGTGTTTGGAGGATGTTGCTGCTGCTGCTGCTGTACATGACCACGTGATGAGCCACTTCCTAGAGCTGTCATTTGTGCACAGGCCGCTTGTGAAAAAGAGCTGCCGTAGCTCAGTGGGCCTGAGCTTGCAAAATAAAACAAGTTCAGTAGTAATAGGTGCGGTGAAGTATGATGACTTACATTAACCATACTTACATGACTTACATTAACCATGATGACTTACATTAACCATACTTGAACCATAGTCCAGTGCACCTGGCCAGTGTGTGGTGAAGTATGGTCAAATGACCCCCACCCCCTCGGGCGCAGGGACATCCCTCATCCAGCCGTTTGACAAACGGGGCCTGTGCACGGGCTACTTGGGGGCACACGTGACTCACACCGCACGTGCGGTATGTGCACTTGAGTCGGCGCGCTTATCTCAAGCCGAGAATTCTCCGGCGATTCGTCACGGCCGCCTGACTGATTCACGGGAGCGAGGTTATCCAACCCCCCCACCACCACCACCAGCAGCAGATCGCCATCGCTTCCTTCCTTCTGCCCGTTTCCCCAGTGGTAGCAGTAGTAGTAGGGGGCTTTCGCAACCAATATTATCCATAATATAGGTTGTTTTGAATAAGATCGCGTAAATATAAATGTGTCGTTAAACCCACTACCACCCGACACAACCAATTCGTAAGGTCTGGCACGTAAACAAAACATGCCAATTCGTTACTAGTTCAGCACACCGGTTGTGTGTTGGAGAGTAAACCCACGACGTTTACAATTCTCGTGCCGTGACGTTTCGCCGGTGATTGCAACCAGCCTCATCAGGTGATAGCCAGAGCTGTGGAGAATTCCTCCAGCCGTGAAGTATTCATTCGTTTGTCGCCCAGCTATCCTGGCTTGAAGTAGGGGTGGGGTTTCGGCACACGGCACTACAACGAGAGTGCAAGGCTTCATACTAACCCGATGCTGTATTCGTGTACGCTATGTCACAGGTTTGTACAAATCCCGAGTACAAAATCAGGCGAGATAAGCTTTCGAGGCGTGCTAAAAACACGTGCGAGAACAATGATGAATAGAAAGTGCTATATTTGATATGTGAGCGTTATGTCCTCCCAATCTCTTCCACGCCGGCCAGATTACATTGAAAGCGCTGTGCGCGTGAATTGTGCTTGGGGTGAGAGACGTACCCCACCCCCCACAGTCAGCCCAGCACTAGAATCGAATCAAACTGAATCACCACTTGCGAACACACGGAGATGCGATACAATGGGAGGCCCATAACCGGTTCAGAAATGCATCACCGGTGTTTGCCGTGAGCGGGACGTGAACTCGGCTCACCGCTTTCGTATGGCAACTCGCTAATAACCACTATGCCACCGCTCTCCGTACTGTATACGTACACACACACAAAGTTCCTGCGAATAGCCTTTAACAGGCTCACGGGACCAGCACTGTTCACACGACTCATACAGACACTTGTACAAACACATACAGTAACCGCACACACACACGTATACACTCTTTCACACACACAGACATCAGCTCGGGTAGCTGTACGAGCAAAGTGTAAGTACGTAAATCATGTACGTAGTCACGGCACGGCACCGCTAGATTACATCCTA